CATGTGCGCAATAATATTTGTAGGCAATCGGGAATGTCGGCAATCAAAGTTGTCGGCAAAACATTGTAGGCAAACGAAGCCATTGGTGATCGGGAATGTAGGCAAACGGGACTCGGGACCTATAATAACATTAAAAAGCAGAAATAAATTACCGAAACACTAAATGTCGAGACGACTGACTTGGTTGAAGATAATATTTCTTCCTGAAATTTTGTGGCTTACTACAATGATTAACATTTTGATTATAATGTTGCTCGTATCCATAAGACGTGTAAGTTTGCGCAGGAGTCTGTTGCTTTACTAAAAGTATTTATAATGACATTAAAAAGCAGCAATAAATGTTACTAAAATAATACATAAAATACATAAAAAACAGAATTTTTTATTTTTCTCGTGAAAAATATTACAGTAAACAGTTTTTTATTAGCATAATATTTATAATTACATGACAACTGTGGTTATTATATATTATGTATTGAATAACAAGAACATTAAAATATTATATTTTGTATAGTTTAATTAATATTATATATTTACTTTTATTGAGATTTATACATTTGAAAGTAATATGGTACTATTATTTTAAGAAAATTTTAGTTCTAATATTTGTTTAAATAATGGAACAATATTGTTAGCGCATTCTAAATGATTGGACGGAATTGCTCTTTCTTTTTGACTATTAGCAACGCTAAATACGAAATTCAATTCAATTTATGTTATTAATTGTAAGTATATAGGTCGAAAGCCCTTACAATATAAATAAAAAGGGAGGGTCTCAACTGCCTACATTCTCATTTGCCAACAGCTTCATTTGCCCACAACATTTTGCCGACAGCTTCAATTGCCGACATTCCCGATTGCCTACAGAGCGATTGCCTACAAGCATTATTGCGCACATTTAAAAATTAAAAATACAAACGTACGTTTGCACACAAGACATTATTGCACACATACACATTGCACACATGACATTATTGCGCATATACACATTGCACACATGACATTATTGCGCACATACACATTACACACATAATATTATTGCGCACATACACATTGCACACATAATATTATTGCG